TGGTGTTGGCTAATGATCCTGCAGTTAGTTTAGCTCCTGAGGGTGGTGTTCATCCAACTGGGAGTGGTGAACGTCAAGAAACTGAAGAAGCTGCAGATGATGATAGTGGTAGAGGAAAGGGGCACGAATTGGCACAGTCTGCAGGTGATGTTCACCATGAAGAGAAAGAAAAAGGAGATGAGGAGGAAGAAGTTCCTGCTGCTTATCCTCTTCCTGGTGTTCCTCCTGGTGATCAACCACCACTACCAGCAGCAGCACATCCACAGCCTGCGGCCTCAGCTGAACTGACCAATGGATCTCTCAGTGCCTCAGCGAAGGTTACTATTCCTGCTGTCAGGCAGAATGATCAGAGTAGAACTGATATGGAAGTGAGGGACTTGGCAAGCACGGGTGCAACTGGTCCTCTACAGGGTGGAATAACAGAGGAGGAAATAAAGAAACTTGAAAGGCCTCCAGCACTGCAATCTGTCAGTACTCCTGAAGAGAACTCTGAAGTTTCACAGACCTCCCTTCCACAGACAGAGGAAACATTGCCTAAAACCACACAGGAGAACCATGAAAAGAATACAGACAATCAGAGTGTATCAAGTGGAAGTACAACTACGAATGATGGTGCACCAACAGAATCTTCTTTACCAACAACTACTGAAGCCAATGCTACACCTTCACCACAGGAAACTGAGGGGAATAATGAATCTGATCATAAAAACGCTGACAATGGCACTGCACCTGAAGGGAGTGAGTCATCAAGTAACCCAACTAATGAGGAATCAACCTTAACCACAACTACCACTACCACCACGACAACAACAACACTTCCTCCTGAACTCACAAACAACAAGAAGGGTGATGCAGACAGCAGCAGCAGTATCAGCAGTTCTGTGTGGGTGCGTGTACCACTACTGATTGTGTTACACTGGCCTGTATTCTTGTGTGCTGATTGTGGTGGTGTGATGGTGTGACTCAGGTCATCCTTTGTTTTCTTTTTTCTTTTTTGCATGCATCCACACTACAGTCTAACTAATCTTTCACCTGTTGGTATATCTCTTTTTTTTTGTTTCTTAATGTTAATGATATTGTTTTTGTGTGTGTTTTTACTCTCTGTGTTTATCCTATAATTATTATTGCTACTCCATTGTGTGTGTGTGTGTGTGTGTGTTGTTGGAGACTCTCTGTGTGTGTGCACCTGGGCTTGCACTGTGATAATGATGAACTGCCTTTTTACACTGGGAAAAGGAAATAATAATAATAACAGATGAATTTATATTTATAATTGCGTATATACACATATATAGACTTATACCCATAGTTGGTGTATTTCTGTGTTTACTGGGTAAATTGGGCTAATTGTTAATATCTCTTTGTTTCCTTGTGTTGTTGGCTGGGTCATTGTGTGTGCTTTGCACTGCACCGTTATGATATTCTGCTTTCTTCTGAGGGAGGAATAAATAACAGTTGCGTATTTACGTTTAGAATTGTTGATGAACTCAAGCACACCCATAGTTCTCTGGTTCGTATGTTTGATGTCTCGCTTGTTCCTGTTCACATTTGTTTTCTTCAATTTGCTTGGGTGTGTGTGCGTTTGTCCCTTTATTCGACTAGTACTTGCTTACACTGATGCCTTTTTTTTGTGGTTTGTGTTTTTCTTGTAATATATTCCATAATTTCTCTCTCTTATGTTTTTTTTTCCTTTTATTTTTTCATTTGAGATACCTAAAACAGCAAAAAATATTTTTTGCCATGAAGCTAGTCTGTCGTACTTTGTGTTTGCTGTTCTTGTTTCTGATCATTGTTTGTTTGTCTTTGACGGCTGCGGCGAGTGATCCAAGTCATGCACTTGAAACTCTGCAAAACACTGATGATCATCACACTTTGGAGACGCAGGATTCCCTTGAACGTAGCCCAACGTGTACGGCTGACCAGACTGATTGTCCGCCACAGGAAGATTCTAATAAAGAATCTTTGCAATTACAACAAGCTTTAGAAGAGCAGTCAGCTTCAATAGGAGACGGTGTTGCTGGTGGTGATGGTCACTTGAAAGAGGGTAAAGGTCTTCCACAAGTAAAACAGAACCTTGAAAGTGATACTTCAGCACTAACTAATGGCCTCGAGAGTGTCGTTGCTGCTTCTCGATCCCATTCTCCTGAAGAAGAAGTTAAATCAAGTCTTCCTGAATCTCACAAAGCTCCTTCGTCGGGTGGTAAGGCTCCTCCTGAGGGAAACAAAGACAGTTTACAAACACACAATTCCCACGAACAAAGTGATTCTCATGTTAACGAAGAAGAAGGGGAAAGACAGAAACAACTGGGAAATAACAAGCAGGAGGCATTAAAACCATCACAAGAAGCAGCACCAGGTGAAGCATCTTCTGTACAAGAATCTGGATTACACGAAAATGGAAAGCCATTAAGCGACCTCACATCTCAATCACAAACAGAATCCACTGATTCACAAAACACAGAGAACACAAACACAACAACGTCAGGAACTGCTGAAGGGCAAGAACCATCCACTGGCACAACTCCCAATACAGGTGACACTTCACACAGCACTTCGGCCACAGCTGATGCTCAAAATAATCCGGCTGATAATGGAACTAATGTTGCTGCGAACACTGCAGAGAGTGAAACAACCCGTAATGAGCAATCCACCACCACCACCACAACAACAACAACAACACTTCCTCCTGAGACTACAAACAACAAGAAGGGTGATGCAGACAGCAGCAGCAGTATCAGCAGTTCTGTGTGGGTGCGTGTACCACTACTGATTGTGGTTACACTGGCCTGTATTCTTGTGTGCTGATTGTGATGGTGGTGGTGGTGTGACTCAGGTCATCCTTTGTTTTTTTCTTTTTTGCATGCATCCACACTACAGTCTAACTAATCTTCCACATGTTGGAATTTCTCTTTTTTGTTTCTTAATGATATTGTGTTTTGTGTGTTTTTGCTCTCTCTGTGTTTATCCTATAATTATTATTATTGCTACTCCATTTTGTGTGTGTGTTGTTGGAGACTCTCTCTGTGTGTGTGCACCTGGGCTTGCACTGTGATGATGATAATGATGAACTGTTTTTTGTAGTGGGAAAATGAAATAATAATAACCGATGAATTTATATTTATAATTGCGTATATACACACATATAGACTTACACCCATAGTTGGTGTATTTTTCTGTGTATTTACTTGGATAATTGGGCTAATTGTTTAATATCTGTTTTTTTTATTTGCTCGTGGGTTGGCGGGTCATACTGTTTTTTGCCCTGCGGCAATGATGATGGTGAGTCATTGGAAAAATAAGACAGTAACAGACAAATATAGTATCCATTGCATCTTAACTTAAACATAAGCAACGTTTGCTGGATTGTGTGTTTTGTGCTCTTAAGTTCTGTTTTTTCCTTTTGCTTGGGTGTATGTGGTTTTATGTATTCCTCTTTTAACGTTTTCTAATGTGTTTTGACTTTTTTGTTTTGTGTTGCTTTATTCGTATTTTGGACTGTGTTATAATTGTTTTTTTGTTCTTATTTGTCTCTTTATTTCGTAGTTAAGTTTTCCAAATCAAGAAGCATTATTTTCTTCTGGTGATAATGTTGTGTCGTGTGTTGTTTTCTGTTGTTTTGCTGTTGATCATGTCTTCTGTGTGGGTGGCGACGGACGTGTCTGCTTCTACTGGACAAGCTGGAGGGGAAGACGGTGATAGAGGTGGTTCAGGTTCCCCAGGTCCTGAAGGTCCTGCCGTTCCAAAAGGTACTCAGGGTTCTGGTAAAGCTTCTTGTCCTGAGGGAGTGGAAAGGGACGTTAATTGTCCTTCTGAGATTGCTAATACGTCTTGTTCTTCTAGTCCTTCTGATTCTACTGGTGGTCGTAGTTGTACTCAAGCTGAAGTGGAAGATCATAATCCTGATCCACCTTCTGCTCCTGCTAGTGAAAGAGGTGAACAGGGTCGTGCTGGTGCTGGTGCTACTACTTGTCCTGATGGTGATACAGCTAATGCTAAGTGTCCCAAAGAAACAACATTACAAAAGGGTCCGCTTAAAGCGGAAGACCCTGCTGAGGCTTCACATGGTCAAGATGCTGAACTTGGTGTTAGTGCACCAAGTATAGGGGCTGCTGGTGAAGCAGGTCGGGCTGGTGCTCAAGCTGACCAGGAAACTCGAGGAGAACAAGAGGCTGCTGCACCTACTGATTCTGCTACGAGACCGGAGACAACTGCAAGTGAACCTAACACTGGAATCAGCAGCAACAGGGAAGGAAATGTAAGTGAAACATCACAACCTCCATCTTCTCCTAACGATACAGCAACAGCGAGTGATGCTGGTTCTAATCCTGCATCGAATGAAGATGGTACAACATCTTCAGGGGGAGAATCAACAAGCAACCTCGAAAGTGTGGGAAATGCAGATACCACCACCACCAGAACAACAACACTTCCTCCTGAACTCACAAACAACAAGAAGGGTGATGCAGACAGCAGCAGCAGTATCAGCAGTTCTGTGTGGGTNTGGTAGATTCCATATGTGTATGTGTGTGTGGAGTAATAGTGGTGTACTTTTGCTTCTGTGTTTTCTCTTCCTTCTTTTTTCTCTTTTCCACACTCCATCCATTAGACCTGTGAACTCAAGTGAGAAGGAGGATAACAACAAGAACAAGAAAAAGAAGAGGAATGATGATGATGCGCCGTGTGATGTGTGTGTTGGTCGTTGTGCTGTGCTGTGCCTGCGGGTATACCATGACGGTTGCTGCTGAGTCGGAGTGGGATGATTTTCTTGGAGACACAAGCACTAAGTATAGGGAAAAGAAGCTTGCAGAGGAGTGTACAAAGAATGAGGGTACCCCCAATCATGTGGTTGAAGGAATAAAGTGTTCGGATTGGAAAGCACGTAAGTCGATTACGAAAAAACCGATGCCTTCACTTCAATCAAAACCCAATCTCGTTGATCAACATGAACAACAACAAGTACGCGTGGAAGTGGAATTACAAGACCAGGCACATAAAGAACCAGCGGAGAGAGAATCATCTGAGAATGTTAGAGGCCCAGACAGTCCTGTGGGAACTGGACCCCGTCCTGATGGGGATGCAGAAGGTTCGTTAGAAACATCAAGTACATCCGCACAACCTATTTCTTCCCCAACTACACCAAAGGAACCGGCTCCAACTACACCAAAGGAACCGGCTCCAACTTCACCAAAGGATCCAGCAAATAATCCACCAAAAGAAACCGCTAAAGGTCAACAAGAGGGTCTAGATCAATCTAGTGAACACTCTGGTTCTGGTGCTATTGTGAATCGAACTGGTGGTGGTTCTAATGGTGGTTCTTCTTCTGATCATCCTGAGGCACCTGCTCCACCTGCTGCTTCTTCTTCTTCTGCTGAGGAGAGTGCTGCTCCGGCTAAAGGCGACAGTCAACCTGGAGTCAGCGGCAGCAGTGCAGCAGGTGAAGGTGCAGCAGATAATGCGAATGCTGAGGCAACGCAACCTTCTTCTCCCACAACTTCAGAGATAAATAATGCCAGTAGTTCTGATACTGCAAACGCTGGAAATGGCACTACTTCTCCAGAGGATGAATCTCAAAGTAACCCATCTGATGTGGGAAATACAGAAACCACCACCACAACAACAACAACACTTTCTCCTGAACTCACAAACAAAAAGAAGGGTGATGCAGACAGCAGCAGCAGTATCAGCAGTTCTGTGTGGGTGCGTGTATCACTACTGATTGTGGTTACACTGGCCTGTATTCTTGTGTGCTGATTGTGATGGTGGTGGTGTGACTCAGGTCATCCTTTTTTTCTTTTTCTTTTTTTGCGTACATCCCTACAGTCTAACTAATCTTCCACCTGTTGGGATTTCTTTCTGTTTCTTAATATTAATGTGTGTTTTGTGTGTTTTTGCTCTCTATGTTTATCCTATAATAATTATTATTGCTACTCCATTGTGTGTGTGTTCTTGGAGACTCTCTCTGTGTGTGTGCACCTGGGCTTGCACTGTAAAGATAAGGATGAACTGCTTTTTTCAGTGGAAAAAAGGAAATAATAATAACAGATGAATTTATATTTATAATTGCGTATATGCACACATATAGACTTACACCCATAGTTGTGTATATTTCTGTGCTTACTGGGTAAATTGGGCTAATGGTTAATAACTGTTTGTTTGCTTGTGGTTTGCTGGGGCATTGTGTGTTTTGTCCTGCGCCATGTTGGTTATGGTTTGCTTTATGAAAAAAAAAGAAAAAACGGTAACTGATATTTATATTTATAATTGCGTATACATGACCATGGAAGGTGTAATTATGTTTTTCTTTATGTGTTGTGGTATTTGGTTATGCTTGTAATTTGTGCTTTGTTTTTCTTTTGATTGGGGATTTTATATGGTAACTCGTTATTTGATTCTTTACTGGTTATCCCGTTGGTGATTTTTTGTGTTTCTTTCTGTTTTTCTTTTTTTCGTTTTCTTTATCATATAGTGTTTGTTTGTACCTACTTTTTTGACTTGTTGTTTCTCTTATTTGTTCCTTTTCTTCTTTGTTTAGTTGGATTACAGCGAACGATAAAAGAAATTCGTGCTGAAATGATGCTGCTGCACCGTATATTGTGTTTTCTGGCTTTGTTACTAATGGTGGCAAGTGTTTGTGCGTTGGCTGAAGATCTTTCTGCTCAGCCTCTTGGTCAAGGTCTTGATCCTACCGGTACTGCTGCTGCTTCTGCTAAAGCTGCTTCTGTTGGTGCTTGTCCTCCTGGTCCTAATGGGGCTCCTTCAGATACTACCGACAGTAATTGTGGTACTGGTGTTGCTGGTCCACGCGTTGATACTCTTACAGGCGATCTCGGTACAGAAGGAAAATTAGAAGGTGGACCAAAAGGTCCAGATGGTGGCAGGAATCTCTCTGGGGAAAGTGGTCTCGGGGCGAAAGGTAATGTGAATCCAGAAGTACAAAACGTGGTTGTGCAAACCAAGGTGGAGGTGAAAGAAAACAAGAAAGACACCCATGATAAAGATCAGGCACAAACCAAAACCGCTGAGGGAAACGGTCAAGGTAGAAACGATAACTATATCTCTGGTGAGAGTCGGCGTACTCAAGTTGACCAAGGATTGGCTAATAACGACCGGTCAACTGGAGAAGAAGCTAATTCTGTTGACAACACCCAACCTGGAGGGACACCTGGAAATCAAAATGAACAACGATCCGATTCTTCTCTTGAATCCACTTCACTTGATGCAGCCACTCATGAAAACAGTGCCACGAATAAACCGACAACAGGCACACAGGATTCTCAATCAAACAGTGGTACAGGTGATGCCAATAACTCAGCGAGCACAGACTCTGACCCACCCACTCCACCCACTGAAGAGGAATCAACCACCACCACCACCACNCGCTCTCCTGCTCTCATGTGCGTGTGTGCACGTCCTCGCTGAAGAAGTGCCTGCCGCCGATCTTTCCGACCAAGTCCCTGATACGGAGAGTGAGAGAAAGATTATTCTTCAAGGAGCTCCTGAGGCCCAACTTTATCCTAATTGCACTGGTGGTCACACTGAAACTACTACCATTGGTACTTGTCCTTCTGTATCACAACCAGCACCAAAAGAAGTTGTTCCTGAAAAAAAAGTACCGCCTGATCCTGTTCCTGGTACCCCTGGTGAAGCTGAATGCTCTGCTGCTGCTCCTGAGGCTTCTAATCAAAATTGTCGTACTTCCACTACTACAAGTGGATCTACTGGAGGAATAAAAGGTGATAGTGCAGACACACAAGGACTACCAGCGGTCTCACAAAGGACTGAGACGGACAGTGGTGTACAAAGCCCACAGGGTCCTCCCAGTGCTGCTGCTCCCTCTCCTGGTCCTACTTCTGATTCTCCTGATATTAAGGGAAGTGGTGCTGTGTCTGCAAGTGAAAGGCAAGCTGGAGGAAGTGTGGGAAATGCAAATGGAACAGCAGAACAACCTTCTACTAACGGTTCAACCACAGAGTGCAGCTGAGTCGACAAATGCTGAGAATGGCAGTACACCTGAAGGAATTGAATCAACAGGAAATACAGGTGACATGGTAAATACAGACACCACCACAACAACAACACTTCCACCTGAACTCACAAACAACAAGAAGGGTGATGCAGACAGCAGCAGCAGTATCAGCAGTTCTGTGTGGGTGCGTGTACCACTACTGATTGTGGTTACACTGGCCTGTATTCTTGTGTGCTGATTGTGCTAGTGGTGGTGGTGGTGTGACTCAGGTCATCCTTTGTTTTCTTTTTTCTTTTCTTGCGTGCATCCCTAAAGTCTAACTCATCTTCCACCTGTTGGTAATTTCTCTTCTTTTTGTTTCTTAATGTTAATGTGTGTTTTGTGTGTTTTTGCTATCTGTGTGTTTATCCTATAATAATTATTATTGCTACTCCATTGTGTGTGTGTGTGTTCTTGGAGAATCTCTCTGTGTGTGTGCCTGGGCTTGCACTGTAATGATGATAATGATGAACTGTTTTTTGCAATGGGAAAAATGAAATAATGATAACAGATAAATATTTATAATTATAATTGCGTATATACACACATATATAGACTTACACCCATAGTTGTTGTTATATTTCTGTGTTTACTGTGTAAATTGGGCTAATGGTTAATCTTTGTTTCTTTGTTTGTTTGATGATTTTGCTGGGTGGTTCAGCCTTTTTTGAGATATTTCTGAGTGTGGGCTTCTTTTTTGTTTTTACTTTTAATGAGGTTATTTGCGCTGTATTTCATTCTGTAACTGGTAGGTTTTACTTTTCACGATGTGAATATCCATAGTGGTAATCGATTTGTGTGTCCTAACATGTTTGATACTTCAGTTATTTTTTTTTTATTTTGCTTGTTGATTGTCTTTCTTTCTAGATCAGTGTTTTTACGCAATCCAAACTATTGTCTCTCTCATGATGATGAAGATGAACCGTGTGATGTGTGTGTTGGCCGTTGTGCTGTGCTGCACCTGCGGGTATACCATGGCTGCTGCTGCTGAAGTGGCACCGAAGCCGAATGATATTGAGGGCTTGTATTCCCCGTGGGATGGAGAACCTATTAGTTCAATCATGGAGTGTACGAATGGGCACAAAGAAAACAGAAATATGGATTGCACAGAGTTTTTAAATGATAGAACGAAATGGCAAAGTGAACGTTCACAGCGTGTTAAGCAACAAACATCCTCTAGAGTAACTGAGACCCGTGATGCACTGGGTACACTTCAACGACCTTCTGCAGGTTCAGATGGACATGCAGCAGGTGAAGGAGAAACTACAACAGGCATCAATGGTGATCAAAGAAGTAATTCTCATGAGAACGGGAGAGAGAATACGGTACTGTCCGCTGAGGAACTAAAAACTGGTAAACTTTCCATACAACCAGGTCAGTCAGAAAATCAGTCTCCTTCAAGTGCTATTGGTAACAAGGAAGAAATTACTGTTCTCTCTCCGCACTCTAATAATGGACAAAGTGGCAGCGGAGGTCCACATGATCAAGAAACCGGACACCAAGACAACAGAGTATCTCAGGTGGAGGAAGACGGCAAAACAAAAACACCTCCTATTATCGACGACCCTGCAGGAAGTAAATCTGAAACAGGAACGAGTTCTAATACAACACAAGTTCCAAACCAGGAACCCATTCCACCTACAAATGATACGGAAGAAGCATCCCATATGAAAGCTGGTAAAAGCACAAATGACAACGGTAATCCTACAGAGCATTCTCTTGTAGCTTCAGATACGACTGCTACAGGAGGTTCAAAAGCGAATGGCAATGCTGATTCGCCGAACATCACCAACATTAACAGTGAACCGCCAACCACAACGCCATCTCCTCTAACAGATGTAGAGATCAGCACCATCGCTTCCACTGTACAGAGGAAAAAGGCTAATGCTGACAGCAGTGTCAGTCCTGTGTGGATGCGTACTACAGCACCGCTGTTGATTATGGTTGTGTTGTTCTCCGTTGCCGTGTACTGAACGGTAGGACTCATCTGAGGACAAATAATAATAATGGTAAAACTAACACAATCATAATTGCGTGCATCCCCCATGGGTGAATGAATGAACTAATAATCTGTTTACTAGCTTTCTCTTTTAATTTGTTTTTCTTTTCTTTTCTTCCACTTTTATATGTGTGTGTTCTTTTTTCTAATAATTCCATTACTTGCTTTTCCCGTTGTACGTGTGTGCAGAAAACTGGGCTGTTCTGCTCACTGACGGTATACATCTCTTGCTAGTACACACAGATGTGTGTGCGCAGTAATTTAGTACATAAACTAGAGCCATGGGGTATTGTGTGTGTGTTTGGCTCTCTCTTATTTGGGTATTGTGTTGTGTTTTCTTTTCTTTTTTCTTCTTTTTTCTATTAAGGGGTACATATTATCACTACAAGCGAGTTATTCCTTTTTGTTGCTTTACTGTGCTGTTACTGCTTATCTCTTTTCCACTGTGAGTATTTGTGCACTGCATCCACTGTGTATGTATCACTTTCACTTCTTTTTTCTCTCTTCCACACTCCCTGCATAGATCTGCGATCTCAAGTGACAAGGAAGACAAGAACAAGAAAAAGAAGAGGTATGATGATAATGCGCCGTGTGATGTGTGTGTTGGCCGTTGTGATGTGCTGCGCCTACTGGTATACCATGACGGCTGCTGCTAGTAGTTCTTCTTCTGAAGGAGGGGTAGCCCATGAGGATCTTGATTCTTCTTGGAATGATAAGGTGGAATATGACAAGTTGGTGGGGGCTGCTGGTGATGTTAGTTGGTCACAGTTGGGTACTGGTATGAGCGAAGAAGGTAAAAAAATTGAAAAGTATTACAAGTGTAAGAAAGCCCCTAATCATACAGTTGAAGGAATAAACTGTTCGATTTGGAAAGAATTTAGGAATGGGACTCCCAGTAAACCAGAGCCAATTGACCAGGAGGTACTACGTACACAACAACAACAGAAAGGTGATTCAACTGATGAAATTGCTGGAGTGAGTGGACCTCGTCTTCAAACCAGTGGTACTGTTGCCAAGGGGAGTGGTGAAAGCTCAGAAAAGGCTACGGTAACTGAACCCCAATCTGTTGAAAAACCATTGGATACACCAGATATAATGACTATACCTGCAAAACCTATATCTGCAACGAGTTCTTCTGCGAGTGCACCTGCAGAGACCAGCACAATTTCATCATCTTCCACTAAAGAGAATACAGGTAGCAGTACCTCTGGCACAGACGCAGCTGATAACAGTACATCCGCCGACTCTAATCTTACCCAGCAAACACCTGCAACTGTTGATTTGACTGCTATACCAGACTCACAAGGAACCAATTCCACTACTCCACAGAGCCCCGAGAGCAATGTCACTGATACACCAACCACCACTCCATCTACTGTACCCAACGGAGGGTTAACCACAATCGCATCCGCAGTGCAGAAGAACAGACCCAATGCTGACAGCAGTCTCAGTCCTGTGTGGATGTGCACTGCAGCACCGTTGATGATTGTGGCTGTGTTGTTCTCCGCTACCGTGTACTGAACGGTGGGACTCATCTGAGAACAAATAATAATAATAAAAATGGTTAATACTAACATAATCATAATTGCGTACATCCCCATGGGTGAATGAAATTAATAATCTGTTTATCAGCTTTCTCTTTTAATTGGAATTTCTTTTCTTTTTCTTTTACTTTTATGTGTGTGTGTTCTTTTTTTAATAATTTCATTACTTGCTTTTCCCGTTGTGTGTGTTTGCAGAAAACTGGGCTGTTCTGCTCACTGACGGTATACATCTCTTGCTAGTACACAGATGTGTGTGTGCAGTAATTTAATATACATAAACTAGAGCCATGGGGTATTGTGTGTGTGTTTGGCTCTCTCTCTTATTTGGGTATTGTGAGGTCTTTTCTCTTTTTTTTTTTCTATTAAGGGTACATATTATACATGCAAGAGGAATATTACTTTTTGTTGCTTTACTGTAAAGTTGCTGCTTCTCTCTCTATACCACTGTGAGTACTTGTTGTATTGGTGTTTGTTTGTTTCTATCTCAATTCTTCCCTTGTGGTCCTCTTTCTTGTATTAGTTTATTGAAGTAAAACAATCAGCAGCAATGACAATGACTGTAATGGTGAGGTGCTACATGTTCATTTTACTAACTCTTACACTTTGTTGTGCTTGTGGGTTGGTATGGGCTGATAATCCTAAACCTTCTACTGTTGGTGTTCCTTCTACTGTTGGTGTTCCTTCTCTTGTTCATCGTGCTATTCCTGCGTTTGAACTCATTCCTGAGAAGTTGGATGAGTATTATTCATTGATGGTATGTGGGAAGAATGAATGCAAGGCGGAGGATGTGAATACTGGACAACCTGCAGAAACGGAGCGTAGGAAACAGTCAGAGGATTCATTACCAGAGAAAACTGTTAGTTCTTCCCATCCTTCTCTTAATCCAGAGGAACCACCAGGTTCTACATCGCGGCAAGCAGGTAGCCACCTTGGTAGCTTACTTCCTTCTACTTCGTCTTCTCAAGAACAGGGACTTGCTGCGAATCAAGTCGATTCACAAAGAATCAAAAACGGTGAACACGTTGTCTCTCACAATATGGGTACTGGGGACGAAAAAGAAGATCAGAGACAAGAGACATCTGTTAAGGAGAACCATTCACAATCCACTGGTCAAGAAAGTGCACGAGACTCTCCTTTGCAAGTACCTGGTTCTACACCAGAAACAGAAAGGGTATTAAGCGAACAGGAATCTCAACCTTCACAAACAGAATCACGTGATACACAAAACCCGCAGACCACACAAGCAAATGTGCAAGGAACTAAAAATGGACATGACTCTTCTGCTCCCACAACTCAGAGTACAAGTGACGTTTCTCCCAGCAACACAACCACAGATGTTACCCATAATAATCAGGCAGAGAATGGAACTAATGTTGCAAAACCTGCAGAGAGTGAGTCAACCACCACTACTACTACTACTACTACTACTACTACTACTACACTTCCTCCTGAACTCACAAACAACAAGAAGGGTGATGCAGACAGCAGCAGCAGTATCAACAGTTCTGTGTGGGTGCGTCTGCCACTACTGATTGTGGTTACACTGGCTTGTATTCTTGTGTGCTAGATTGTGGTGGTGGTGTGGTGGTATGACTCAGGTCATCCTTTGTTTTCTTTTTCTTCTTTTGCATACATCCCTACAGTCTAACTAATCTTTCCATCTGTTGGGATTTCTTTTCTTTTTGTTTCTTAATGTTAATGTGTTTTGTGTGTGTTTATCCTATAATTATTATTGCTACTTCATTGTGTGTGTGTTCTTGGAGACTCTCTCTGTGTGTGTGTGCACCTGGGCTTGCACTGTGATGATGAACTGCTTTTTGCAGTGGGAAAAAGGAAATAATAATAACAGATGAATTTATATTTATAATTGCGTATATACGTATATAGAGTTACACCCATAGTTGGTGTATATTTCTGTGTTTACTGGATAAATTGGGCTAATGATTAATACCTTTGTTTTTTGCTTGCGTGGTTTGTTGGGGCGTTGTGCTTTTGCCCTGCACCGTTTTGGTATTCTGTTTTGTTCAGAATAGGAAAATAATAATAACTGTTACACAGAAAGTAATGTTTTGCTATGTTGACCAACGAATGAAGAGCTATAGTTTGGTGTATTTTCTTCTCTTGTTTGGTCGTACGTATAATTTATTAAATCATTGTTTCTCTTGCGGGCTTATTGAGAGTTTCTGTTTAGCATTGGGTATTGTGTGTTTTGTTTCTTTAATTGGACACTTTCTGAGTGATTGTTGTGGATTTATGTTTGTTTTCTATGTGTGCTTATATATATTTCTTGATGTGGAGCAATGATTTCCTTTTGTTGGTGTTTGTTTTCTCTTTTTTTTATTGCTCAGAGTAGTGCCACCAGATAATAATAACAACAGCTGTTCAGATACCAATGAGGCACGTGCTCTGTGTGTTGGTTCTCTCATTCTGTTGTGTCTGCGGATGTGTGTTAGCCGCTGAAGGAGGTGATGCTACTGGAGTTGATGGTGCTACTGTACAGACCCAGGATGATGGTACTCATTTAAAAAGTGCGCAAGAAGAAACTATGGAAACATGTGGTGCCGAAGGTAAAACGACGGAGAAAGCTTGCAAACCAAACACCACGCTGGGGTCGTCTCAAGAACGTTCATTAAGTGGAAACCAAGCAGATGATCACAGTAGATCTCCTCCAGGTCCAAATTCAGAGATACCTGGTCACGGTACTACATCTACGTCTAGAGGTTCATCTAATGGTTCGCCTGGTGATCGGGGTGGTTCCCTTGTAGAAAATAGAGAGAATTCATCTCCACTGATGGGAGAAAAGAAAGAAGGAGATGATGAACAAGTTTCGCGAGGTGTGGAAGAACGAGTAAGCCGTGAAGAAGCTGCTGTAGAAGGGAGCAGAGAGCACTCTGACAGTGAACCAGCAACAGTAAGCCCTGGTAACTCAGAAAACCCCAATGGTTCGGATAATGTGCAAACACCTGGAAACGAACAGAGTATTCAGACGGGTAATGGTACACAAGGCACAAGTGATGCGCAGGGCAATACACAACCACAAGAAGCTACCGTCACACAACCTTCTTCTCCTTCTGACACTTCCAGCAGTTCAGTTATAGAGAATACCGGAGGAACATCTTCTGGGAGTGATGACACTGGTTCACAGAATGAGTATACAAACACTACAGGTGTTGCAGGAAATACAACCACTACTACTACTACTACTACAACAACAACACTTCCTCCTGAACTCACAAACAACAAGAAGGGTGATGCAGACAGCAGCAGCAGTATCAGCAGTTCTGTGTGGGTGCGTGTACCACTACTGATTGTGGTGACACTGGCCTGTATTCTTGTGTGCTGATTGTGGTGGTGTGGTGGTGTGACTCAGATCATCCTTTGTTTTCTTTTTTTCTTTTTTGCATACACCCCTACAGTCTAACTAAGCTTCCCCTGTTTGGAGTTATCTTTTCTTTTTTTGTTTCTTAATGTTATTGTTATTGTTTTGTGTGTGTTTTTGCTCTCTGTGTTTATCCTATAATAATTATTATTGCTACTCCATTGTGTGTGTGTGTGTGTTCTTGGAGACTATCTGTGTGTGTCTATGAGCTTGCACTGTAATGATGATTATAAATTGCTTTTTATGGTGAAAGGAAGAAGGAAATAATAATAACAGATGAATTTATATTTATAATTGCATATACATACAAATACATATAGACTTATACCCATAGTTGGTGTATTTCTGTGTTTACTTGGGGTAAGTTGGGCTAATGGTTAATATCTTTTTATTTGCTTTAGTGTGCGTGGGTCAGTCTGTGCTTTTGTCCTGCACGGTTTTTGGTAATCTGTTTTATAATAGCAAAGGGACAACTAGTAGTAAATACAATTTGTATTCTTATGTGCTTGAACACACCATCATACCCAGTGGTCTGTGAGTTATTTTTGTTCAGTTGGTCCTGTTCTTAATTTGTGTTTTTGTTCACCTTTTCTTTGCTTGGGCGATGTGTGCTTTTTCCTGCATTGTTGTGTGTTAGAGTGTTTTGTGGGGAGAAACAATAATAAGGAATACACATATATATTTGTAATTGGGCTTTATTCGACCAGAAGAGGCATTTTGATGTATTTCTATGCTGTCTACTTTTTATGGTTGTACTCTTTAATTTCTTTTATTTTTCTTTTGAGGGGTTAATTGGGGTTATCTCTTTGTTATTGGGTACTGTGTGGGTTGTTCTTTTATTTGGGTATTATATGAGTTATGGTTGCAGCTTTCTGCAATGTGTGTGCTTCTGCTTTAATTGTTATCTGTTCTTTGATTTGGTATGTGTTCTTATCATGTGTTTTTTTTTCATTGATTCTATTTGTTTCTGTTTTTCTATCTGGTTTTCTTGTGTGTAAATGATTGAAGTAAGACTACTGCAAGAAGTATTGTAATAATAATGATGCGCTACGTGCTGTATATCCTCGCTCTCCTGCTCTCATGTGCGTGTGTGCACGTCCTCGCTGAAGAAGTGCCTGCCGCCGATCTTTCCGACCAAGTCCCTGATACGGAGAGTGAGACAAAGATTCTTCTTCAAGGTACTCCTAATTGCAGTGGTGATCCACCTGAAGTTCCTGAGGAATGTAAGAAAGTTGACAAAGTTCTTCCTGTTGGTCAGTGCACTAAAGGTGATACTCGTGGTAAAACTGTTTCTTCTGGTGAATGTAATACTTCTGGTGCTAAACCTGGACCTGATGATGGTGGTTCTGAGTGCATTCCTGGTACTCCTGGTAATTGTACTCTTCCTGATGCGGAGCATGGAATTAATCGTTCTAATTGCCCTGGTGCTTCTGGATGTGAGGAAGTTAGCCCAAATCATCAGCGAATACCCGCACATGGTGGTGATGGTTCTTCGGAGTGCAATTCAGGTGTTTCTGGTACCCCTGAACGTCCTTGTATTATTCCTACTCATCAACAACAACAACCACCACCACAAGGAGATCTACTTCATAAACAACCGAATGTAGTCCAAACACAAGGTCAGGATATACCCGAGGATGCATCAGAGCATACCGATGAACAGTCAGAGTTGCAAAAAGGTAGAACCTCTTTACAACCAAACTCTTCTCGTTCTTCTACATCCTCCCCAGCTGATAATCGTGTGAACAAAGATAATGGCAGTGTACCATCAGGAAGTGAAGGTCCAGAAAATACGTCAACCACAGAAGGACAGGCAACGACATCATCTGGAGACAGTGGTTCCAACAACACTAACCTACAAACTCAGCCGGAAAGTGCAAATGAAGGTGGTGACAGTAACTCCAGTAATCAGACTACTGCAGCTGCAGGTACGACTGGCACAGAAGGTTCACAGCGGAATGGCAATGCTGATTCAACCACCACCACCACCACCACTACCACTACCACAACACTTCCTCCTGAATCCACAAACAACAAGAAGGGTGATGCAGACAGCAGCAGTTCTGTGTGGGTGCGTGTACCACTACTGATTGTGGTTACACTGGCCTGTATTCTTGTGTGCTGATTGTGGTGGTGTGGTGTGACTCAGGTCATCATTTGTTTTCTTTTTTTTTGCATGCATCCCTACTACAGTCTAACTAATCTTCCACCTGTTGGGATTTCTTTTTTCTTTTTCTCTCTTAATGTTAATGTGTTTTGTGTGTCTTTTTGCTCTCTACGTGTGTTTATCCTATAATTATTATTATTGCTGTTCCATTGTGTGTGTTCTTGGAGACTCTCTGTGTGTGCACCTGGGCTTGCACTGTGATGTTGATGAATTGCTTTTTTGTTGTGAGAGAAAGAAATAATAATAAGAGATGAATTTATATTTATAATTGCGTATACACACATATATAGACTTATACCCATAGGTGGTGTATATTTCTATGTTTACTGTGTAAATGGGGTTAATGGTCAATATCTTTTTGTTTGCTTGTGGTTTTCTGGGGCATTGAGCCTCTTTTGATACATTTGTTAGTGTGGGCTTTTTTTTTTGTTTGTACTCTTACTGAGGTTATTGTGCTGTATTGCATACATTAAGTTGTTGGGTTTCT